TTATGGTACATGAGTGAAGCAGGTATGACGATGCTGAGTGAGAGGGTATTGTTGAAAGGTCAAAAGACAAGGAAGTTGAAATTATGTGAGCACTGCATCTTTGGGAAGCAACACCAAATCAAATTTACTACAACTATTCATTCAACCAAGCAATCGGTTAAGTACATTCATTCAGACGTCTAGGGCTTGTTTCTGGTTCCTTCGAAAGGAGGAGATGCTCGATATATGCTAACATTTATCGATGACTATTCAAAATGTATAGGTATACTTTTTGAAGCACACATCTGATGTGTTTGATCGGTTTAAGAAATTTAAGACATTGATTGAGAAGCAATCAGATAGACAAATCAAGTGCTTGAGAACTGATAATGGCATGGAGTTTTGTGGTAGAGATTTTATTGAGTTTTGCAAGAGAGAAGGAATTGTGAGACACCGTACAGTACCCAGAACACCACAATAGAATGGCATAGCATAACGGAAGAACAAATCTTTACTTGAGCAAACTCGGTGCATGCTTTTGTATGTAGGACTAGGCAAGGAATTTTCAGCCGAAGTAGTGAACATGGCATGTTACCTGATTAATCAATCTCCATCATCTGCTATCGACTAGAAGACTTATGAGGAAGTATGGTCGGGGAAGGCTATTGATTACTCCGGATTACGAGTATTTAGATATACTGCGTATGCTCAAGTGAGTTATGGTAAACCTGAGTTGAGGGCGAAGAAGTGCATATTTCTGGATCATGTACATGGGGTGAAAGGCTACTGATTGTGGTGCACTAATCCTAGATCGCTCGATTTTCTAATCAGCAGAGATGTGATTTTCGATGAGACTGCAATGCTTCAACAGAGGAATCGTGAGACATTACCAGCAGAGCAAATCGATCATGTTGTTAATAATGAGGTGGAGTTTCGGATGGAGACTCTAGAGGCTTCAGAGTTAACCTAGGTTGAGATTGCATATGAGGCTGCGGTTTCTTAAGTGAATGATACTGAAGAACCAATACAGCCACATCACACTATAGTCGCAGGCAGACAGATAAGACAAATTAAACCACCGATATGTTATGGTTATACAAATATTGCTTATGCATTGATTGTAGATGATGAGGGGGAGATAGATGAACCTTCGTCTTATTCTGAGGCGAAGGCTAGTTCTGAGTTGTTATAGTGGTTAGGGGCTATGAGCAAAGAGATAGAATCACTCCATCGAAAATCAGATATGGGAGTTGGTCAAAGTACCCAAGAACCAGAAAATTATTGGAAGCAAGTGGGTCTTTAAACTGAAGGAGGGCATTCTCGGTGTGGAGATAACGAGATATAAGGCGAGACTTGTTGCGAAGGATTACAAACAGTGTGAGGGCATTGACTACAACGAGGTGTTCTCTCTTGTGGTAAGACATACTTTTATTCATGCATTCCTTGCCTTAGTTGCTACACAAGATCTCGAGCTAAAACAGCTAGATGTGAACACGACATTTCTTCATGGTGAGTTGGAAGAATGGATTTACATGAGGCAGCTAGGAGGATTTGCTATTTTGGGTAGGACAGACCATGTTTGTTTGTTAAAAAAATCTCTGTATGGGCTAAAACAATCTGTAGTGGTATAAATGTTTTGATACTTTCATGGTTAGTTAGGACTATTCGAAAAGTTAGATGGATAGTTGTGTTTATTTTAAGAGATTGGAGGATGTGCCTTTGATATATTTGTTATTATATGTTGATGACATGTTGATAGAGCTAAGAATATATATATAATATTGATGTGCTGAAGAGTCAATTGAGTGCTGAGTTTGAGATGAAAGATTTAAGTACTACAAAAAAAAATATTGGGTGTTTAGATTTTGTGTGACAAGATTGTCGGAGTTTTACGTTTGTCTCAAAAAAAAATATTGTGAAGATTGTGGAACGTTTTAATATGCAGTCAACGACATTTATGAGTACACCATTAGCAAAGCACTTTAAACTTTTAGATAACTTATCATTGCAGACTGGGGATGGGGAGGAGCATATGTCCCGTGCTCCTTATTCTAGTGCAGTGGGTACTATTATATATGCTATGGTATGCACTAGGCCTGATATTTCACAAGCCGTGAGCGTAGTTAGCTGTTATATGAAGCATCCTAGTATAACTCATTGGGAAACTGTGAAATGGATCCTCATTTATTTAAATGGGACAACAGACGTGGGTATAGTGCATCGGAGGGACAACAATGGCTGTGAGACCATAGGGTGTGTAGATTCAGATTACGCCGGTGACTTAGATGAGTGCAGGTCTTTCACATGGTACGTCTTTATGCTAGCAAGTGATATAGTTAGTTGGAAAGCATCTTTATAGGACCACGTCTTCTTATTTTTTACTTAGGCAGAATACATGACACTGACATTTATAGCGAATGAGGCGATATGGTTACGAGATTTGCTCTCAGACTTTGGGTTAGATAAAAAAAAAAGTGTTTATATACACTGTGATACCAAGGTGCGTTATATATGGCGTATAATCCAATTTATCACGAGCAAACGAAGCATATCGACATCATGTGTCACTCATCCAAGATGTCTCAGCGAATGGTGAGGTTGTTGTGAAAAAGAGCGATAGCCGAGAACCAGGTAGACATAATGATTAAGCCCATTTCTTTGGCAAAGCTCAAGCTTTGCTTGAGCTCAATTGGCATTTGTAGAGAGTGAGCGCCCATCAAGGCGTTGGGAGAGCAGTATGTGTCACGCCTCGACCCTCGAGCACGCAACAACCCCTATTCACTTAGGTCATTTGCATACGACGTCCCAAGACTCGTCGCCGACCTTTTATTTTATCTTTCTATTACGCATACGAAAGCGACAACAATCATCCAGTCATAATAGTAAACAGCAGAGATAGTAACAATAATCAACAACAGTCATGCCAAAACGCCGTTTTATTTAATTACTAGATTAACCCCAAGGAAACACATTTACAAGCCCTTTAAGGGCGTTTTCCTTACAAGCCTACCAAAAAGATACTGGGCTGGGGGTCAATCTACTCCATCCAAAAGTGGGTCATCCAAAAAGAACCCATCCCAAGTATGTCCTTCAGGGACTAAACAACATAGTGGCTCGGCGCGTCAAAATAGGATGAGTCGAGGTCATGTTCCAACGGGTCGTAATCCGACGAGCACATAGGATCCGGTTTGGTTTCGGGATTCTCTACTGACCCGTCAGGTGGGACAATATCCATAGGATCCTAGATTTCCTGCCTAGGGCTCCCATCTGGAGGACCATCGAAACCCCTTAGAGGACCATACAAGTCCTCGCCCTCACGGATGAACCATGCTTGGAACCGATGAGGGACCCACAAAGCTAGGTCCTCATCCACCCACACAGTAGACAGGTGGCGCTCAAAAAGATACGGCTTGCTGGAAAAACGATGAGTAGTAATAATACTATCCATATCCTGCAGCACCCTGAACCGCATCGCGTGGTTCGTCATCATAAGGTCCTAGAAAATATTTAACAACAACAAATGAAATATAAATCTCAGCAAGTTAACGATCTAAGCCTCGTTTAGGAAGTCAACTCGTATCGGATGCACCTAAAACATGCAATGATATAATGATGGCAGATCAATAGCAATGCAACCCCTTGCTTTGCCTTAGTTATACACAGTGTTAGGCAACTCAGCACAGCATACATAAAAACACGCCATCACTCAATTGCAGGCATTCTTACCTTATCTTAGCACATGCCTTGCATGTTATAAATCATCATGTGCCATAATAATGCAATAAGCATATAACATAATTAGAGCACATAACAACTTTCTCATGCACGATGCATCCATGCGTGTTCCGATTATTAAGACCATTCAGGGCCACAACACAACCCTATGGTTTGGCAATCTTCCAACATGACCGACATCTATCACGGCCACTCAGGGCAGGCCCATCCTCGCACGGGGGTCTTTTGATTTAATATGGTATTGATCACGATCACTCAGGGTATGCCCGAAATTCCATCGGGGGTCTCATCACGGCCTTTCAAGGCACGCCCACAATCAGGCAAGGGTTTCATCACGGCTATTTAAGGCACGCCCGCACTCATACGAGGGTAACGGTTTCTCATTATGTGATCACGCAAGCATCTAAACCACTCAAGCCAATTTCATTTCTTCTCATTTAGCCAATGCAGACGTGGTTATGCTTACACATCAAAATACTTCAACTTTCATGCCTAAAAATGCAGTAATAAATTCACACGTGATCACATACACACAATTAAACCGTCAAACTTTGCATGCTTCCCTTTTTAAACATCCTTGCCCTATTTAATTTATCAAATTTGATATATAAACCTAACACCTCGGGGATTACTATTTATATGTCCACAAAAACCCTTCTAAAATTAAATAACAAGGTTTCACATAGGGCAATTATTTTTCAGGGTAAAGCAGGCATTAAACAATTTGAAACAAGCATAATTCAACACTTAACTCAAGCAGAAAACACCCATATAAAATCCGCTTATCGTCCTAATTGCGATAACTTACTATCCAATTAGTGATAGCTTATCGTCCCTTGGTGATAGCTTATCACTCAAATATCAATAGCTTATCACCTAATTGGTGATAGCTTATCATTCAAATAACGATAGCTTATCGTCCTTTTGACGATAGCTTATCACCCTTTGACGATAGCTTATCGTCATTTTGACGATAGTTTATTCTCATTTTACGATAGCTTATCATCATTTCCTCGATAGCCTATTGCCTATTTGGCGATAGCTAGACTTGTCAAATGGGTCCAAAACCCATTTATGAACCCACGTTTGTTTAAATGGGTCGCTAATGGGTCATTCTTTTTTTTCCAGATTAGCCTTAATGGGTTTCAAACAAAAGAAGGCCAAATATGTGGGTCTTAAATGGGTATATTCTAAACCCAATTACGACCCATTTAATAACCCATTATGAAAAGCCCGGCTCATGGTCTCCCTCTCACTTCACGATCTTCTCTCCGTCTTCTTCGCTGATTGCTTCCGCGAATCTAATTCGCAGCCACCTCCGCCGCTATCGCCGACTTCGCGCCGCTCACCTCCGGTGCGCCGCCCATCTCCGTCATAGCCGAGGTTCTCCGACAACTCAATATCGCCCGTCCTGCACTCCGCGCAAACCCTAAACTCCGTTTCTTGCGGCTAAATCTCTCCGATCGCCACTAAATTCCTGAGGACCATCTGAGCCTACGACTCCACCACCACCGCCTCGACTCCCGCCGTCCCGAGCGCCTCCGGTATGTGCTCACGAAGTTCGCTCCCCCGATGACGATCGAGTACTTGGTCTTCGTCTCGTTTGCCTTGACGAATCGAGTCTCATAGCTCGAAGGGAGGCCGATAAGCGCATACGAACTGAGCTTCTTGTACTCGGCGGGGCTCGAAGGGACCGGCGTTTTTGTCTCCGGGTATTGGGTTTTCTCTATTTGCTAACTTTTTTGTCAAGTTTGTCTACAATTTTGTTTTCGAGGGTGTTTGGGTTAGTGCTGGGAAATTGGTGTTTTGTTCACTAATCTTTTCTCTCTTTTTGTGTGGGGGTTGCTGGGTTTCTAGGTTCATCGGTTGGTGGTCAATAGAGATCCCAAGTTCACCAATTTTGTCGAGGTGAGAATGTTCGATCTTTTTCCCTACGGTTGCTTTCTTTTGCTTCGCCGATCCTTGAATTTTGTCGGCTCTTTTGTGCGAATGCGCCGTGAGCTCGGTGTTATGTGGGTCATTCCCATTGGTTGGTGTGGTCACAACGATTTGACTAAAGAAGAGAAGTCAGGAGTTTGGGAACACGAAAGGAGGATCATAGGGAAGTAGAAAAGGAACAGAGGGAGAGGAGAAATAAAAGAAGCCCATAGAAAGATGAGCACTGAACTTCTAATGACTCGGGTTTTCTCCACTGAAACCATCATAGTCAATGAAGGGTTCTTATAGATTGAGCGCGCCCGATCACTGATTGGTTTATGAAAATGCGACCAAAGTGATCCATCACATGAAAGAGTGGTTCGCAAACAACAGTGCTTCTTCGCTCAGCCGCTCTAGTTCTAATCATCCTTGCTTGTCTATTATTTCTTAAGGCATCAGAAATATTATCTCTTTTTCCTGGCTGCATCTCTTCCATGTGTGAGTTTCTTTATGGCATTGTTGAATCAATAACAAATCCAGATGGGACAGGTTCACTTTGGATTATCCTCGGAGAGGTTTGTGGTACATGTTTCTGTGTAGTAAGCTTTAGGAAATACCTCTATTCTGTTTAAGGATGTACGAGGAGGAATTCGTTCACCATTTGATAGCCAAATATCCAACCGTTATTGTACAGTGAACTATGTTTCTGATTCCATTGTCTTGAATTTACAGTATCACTTTTAAGTGCCTTTTCGGATGCTCAAAAGTTTCATGTTTGCTAGCTGCACATGAAGGTCTAATTGAGATTTTCAATTGCAGTTTCGGACACACAAGGTTATTTACGGGCGATATGTTGGACTGCTTTTCTCGCTCTGTGTTGACATAACGGATAACGAGCTTGTATACTTGGAGTGCATTCACTTATTTGTAGAGATTTTGGATCACTTCTTCAGCAATGTCTGTATACTAGACTTGGTATTCAATTTTCATGAGGTTTGTCCATAACTATTAGCTCTACTTATGTCTGAACGTGCTTCTTTATCACATCTTACAATTGTATGCTACATTATTATACGAAATTAGTTGTCGGATTTTATTTGCCTGTCTATTTCTATTGGTGCTGCTGTCTAAATATGAGTAGTGGCTGCAAATTAGATTCGTTGAAGCGATAAGCGAAGAAGAGGGAGAGAAGATCATGAAGTGAGATCATGAGCCGGGCTTTCATTGAAAAGAAATTAGATTGTAAATGGGTTCAGAATATACTCATTTAAGACCCATATATTTTGGCCTTCTTATTTTTAAAACCCATTATGGCTGATTTGAAAAAAAGGAATGACCCATTATCAACCCATTTAAGCAAACATGAGTGGATTTTGGACCCATTTGATAGGTCTATAATGTATATGCTTTTGAACCTAGAACCTGGTTTTATGAATTTATTATTATAATTATTGACTTTATTATTTTATATTTGTGCACTTCTTTATGGGTACTAGAATTACATAATCGGCAATTAAAATTAAAAAATATTGTATCAAATAATGTATTATTAAACGGGTGTTATCCGACCAAAAAAAAAAACAACAGGTGTTAATTTTTTAAGATATCATTTATATTTAATTCAAAACTAAAACTCAAATCCATTTCAGGATTTGTGAAAAAAAAAGAAAGAAAAAGAAAAAAAATTAAAAAATTAATTTTTTAAATTATAAAAATTGTCCACAAATTAGCAACATAATTTTTTTTAAATCATAAAAAATTATATTGGGTTAAATATGGAAGTGTTTTAGCGATACAGGTTGGGTTGGGTCGGGTATGGGTCAGGTATGAGTCGGGTCGGGTATGGGTCAAGAAAATTGCATTGCGCATAAATGGGTCATAAACGGGTTAATGGGTCAGTTTGGGTCGGACCATTTATCAGCCGACCCAAACCCGACCCGATCCGACCCGCCCATTTGACAGGTCTAGCGATAGCGTATTACCAAAACTTCGATAGCTTATTGCCTAATTAGCGATAGCTTATTGTCTAACCTTCCGATAACTTATCGCTAGTTGATAACCTATCAACTAATTAATCACCACTAATCACTAATCACCTACTTAACTTAATATAAACTAATCCTAAGTAAGTTTAACGTACTAATTGAGGGATTAGAGCGTTAACTAACCCGTTAACGATTCCGACGACACGGGCACGACGGCAGCGACAAGGGCTAAGCATGGCTCGGTTTGGAAACGACACGAGGTGGTGACGACGGCATGGACAGCAGCTTCGGTGGGGGCTGGTTTGGCTCGCGGTGAGGGCGGAACGGCGAGGAAATGGCTCGGATGGACGGCACACAGCGAGGGATGGTCACAGTGCTTGGCGGGTGGCTACATGGCGGCAAAATGCCAACCAAGGGGACGGTGCTGCTGTGCTCAGCCGAAGGAAAGAAAAGGAGGGAGAGAGGGGGTGGAAATGAGAGGGAAAAGAGAGAGAGAGAGAGATGAGAGACAAGAGAGAGTTCAGGAGATATTTTCTCATCCCCAAAGTCTTCATTCATCAATTCTTATCCCTTTAAGTGAAGTGCTCAATTTCCCTTTGTCTCTTTGTTCAATAATGTAAGAAGGGTATTTTGGTCATATTACATTTTTGGCACAAATTTCCCATTTTGCCCTTGGGCCAAAGTCAAGAGACGGGCCTTGGAATGGGCCCAATTGAATAGAAATGGGCTTGAAAAGTTCACGGGCTCAAATTGGGTTTAAATTTGCTATTGGGCTTTGAAAATAGTAAAGTGAGCTTAGTGGGCCTCATTGGGCCCACTTGAACTTGTTTGGGCCCAAGTAGCTGAAGCACACTTTGGGCGTGAGGCCCAATGGGCCTTCGCTCGGCTCACTTTCTCGTGGGCTCCAATTCTCGGCCCAAAATTTCCTTTTTCCGAGAATTTCAAGCAAACCGATAAATCGGAGGATTAACGAGGCAACGTCCAATAGGTTAATCTTGAAATCCTTGAAAGTTCGATACCCAAATTCAGATTCTAATTCATGATCAAAATCAATCAATTACGACTTTAGTATATCTCAAAGTCACGGGCGGCTTTTAGGAGTTACGTGTATTCGACCCGTGGTTGATTTGATATTAAACCACATTTAAACTTCCTCGAGTCATGGGTGACCTCGATTGTCATGTAATTGCGAGGGGTCAATCACTAGTTCTGAAGTACACGATCGTTAGGAATTGCTTTAGGATCATTCGCAATCCATACAATGGTTAGGCGGAATCACCCGCGATCCGATTGTATATTATTGGCGAACCATTCTGTAACCGTTCCTTAATCGGTCTATAATGGCTCAAAATTGTCCCTCGTCAATTCTTATGGTCGAATTGTCAATTTATGGTCGAGTTCTCAGGTCATGCGTACTTAATTCCTTAACAGCATTTCCCTATTAGTTAGTCCTCTCATGAGTGATCAATTCAAAGCAAGATTTAACTAACAATGCATCGATAAAATAATCATTTCATATATCTCGAAAAGGATCGAATTTCAGGATATCACAGTATGGATGATGAGCACTATAACTTGGCTTTAAATGTTGAACCAAGTTGGAGAATTGTTATATTTTGTCTTGAGTTTGAGCCATTTACGGAACCTGACCCGATTGAATGATGCAGATCGATTTGTAAATTATTAAAGATTGCCACACTAAAGAAAGAAATACAAAGATGAAGGACAAGTCTTCTGGCATTATAAGACAAAGAAGGGACCCCACGTTTCCTTTATAATATATAAAGGAAACGTGGGCTCAGCTAGGGTTTTAAGAAGAAAAGAAAAAAAAAGTAAAATAAATAGGTTTTCTTTTGGCTATAGCCCTAGGTCGATCTTTTTCTTGAAGTGTGGCCGTATAGTGAAGAAGTGTATGGTTTTCTTTAACGAGAATAGTAGCCGCACAGCAAAAGGGAGCTTGACGGCTGCACAAGACTTCCTGGTGAGCCGCCGCACGAAGAACAAAAAAGAAGCACGCACATGCTTCTTGCTTCGGCCATACACGGTAATTTTGTGCTATGAGTTTTCTACATCCTAATGAGTTGTTTTATTTGAACACTTTGTGTTTGGGCTTAGTGTAAGTATGAAAAACACTCGAGTGTGTGAGCGATGGTAACTTGGATTCTCCGATTATAGTTGATTATTTATTATTGGCTCTTCCCATAAATGTAGATACTGCTATTCAGACTAACCACGTAATATTTGGTGTCTTTTATTGTTCTTTGTTTATTTCTTCAGTGAATTTACATTGGCTTAAATTGCAAGATTTTGGTTAACTTCCATGTTATAATATTACAAGAACAGCGGCACATGGTGGACAGAGGGAGACATGGTGGTGGTGTAATGGACTTAGCAAGCCTCTCAGGTGAGGGAGAGAGTATGGGTGGGTGTTGGGCTTTTGTAAGTTGGGGTCGTTTGGGAAACAATATGACAATTTGGTAAATTATGTGTGGATGAGACATTGAACTTAAAATTCATGTAAATGTTAAGGATGATAATCGTAGATTTTAAAAGGGGACGAGGGTAATTAATTTGGGAAGTAAATTTAAAGATGGTTTTTGTAATTTTTCCAAAAGAAGATGTTACTTTTCAAACTTTATGGTAACATTAAGTTTGACAACCCCTATGCTCATCACTTACCATACTTATCCAAGTCCATTCTCAATATTACCCCACTTTTAGCATGTTCAATTTCCAAATTTAGAGAAGGGGGACTGTTGTTTACTTACACAGTAAAGGACCGCAAGTAGTCTAACATTCCAAGTCAACTTCCACTCGGACAGGTCTCTTTCCACAGCAATCGCCACAAGAAACGACTGAACTGTGCTTGATAAACACTGAAGACTTGTGAAGTGAAGCTTCGATGAATAGGTTTTCAATACTTCGGCCTGTTTATATGAAGATAAAGCACTTGGATTTGTACTTCCGAGCAAAAAAAAAAATGCTAAATATGCAATCAAGCAGACGCATGATTGAAAGATGTGATGCGGAAGACGTGGATTCCACATTTGTTAACAGTGATCTATGATATAATCCACTCGTGTTAGAAAGTGCAATTCAGCCGGAGGCCACTTAACATTATGCTGAATATGCAATCAAGAATTAACATCCAAAAGTATGACGAGGACGACGTGGTTTCCACAGTTCTTGTGTCCAACTATAGTTTATGATTTACAACTCCTATCACCTAGAAGATGAATTTAGTGTAACATCTAACATGCTCATGTTAGAAAGAACAGAAATTAATATCTTTTTTACTGTTTTTCAAGGGGTTTTTATTTTTTGGATTATCGTGAGATCCACCACCAGTGACCTAAAAAAACCTTTTGTTTTCACTAATGGACAATTAAAATGTATGCTTGGAGTTAGTTTTGAACAAAATTCTTCCACATATCCACCAATCAATGGTGAGTGTGTAAATTATTTCTTACATTGGCAGTGAATCTTATAGAAGTCCTTTATATATTGCATAAACTTCGTTGAGAACTTATGAGCGTGAATTCTACAAGAAATCATGAGATAAACGCAAGCAAAGCTTTAGGTGCTGGGGCTGAGAGACACAAATCGAGTTTTTCAATCCTTGTTTAATCTTAATGAATTTATCAATGCGGCCCTCCCTCAGGACATACATCACATTGACCGAACCACATCTAATTTTCAATGTTGATTTCCATTTCATCATTTATTTTATCGTGAATAAATAGCTTTTTATAAGAAGAAGCCAAATTAGCACCTTAATAAGATAATAGAGAATTGAAACTCATGGATGTAGAAAAAAACCCAACCCAAAAGTCGCTTTTAGAGGGAGATGGAGAGTGCATACATGTAAGGCTACAACAAACCTCTTATACAAAGACTATCATAATACATTTTACATCAAACATCAATATATATGTAGTCAAAGAAATCGAGTTCTTGGAGCCAACCTCGATTATGAACTTTTTCTTTTTATCTTTACCCCCATAATCTTCCTAACAAGACGTATTATTCATTCGAGAGATCACGAAATATTACACCCAAATGCATCTCATGATGAGTAATATTCTAAGTTTACTAAGATTGATCTACAAAATTGGGTTGAGTAAAAGATGTGTCAAATTACAAGCTAACTATAGTCAACAGACAATAATGGTCTGACACATCTCTTAATAAATCATTTCTTTTTGGCTATTATCTACTATGATCCAGAGAATTTAAATAAATAAATAAAAGGATCACAATCTTTAGTTGGGGGGGGGGGGGGGGGGGTGTACCTGGAGAACAAACCATAAGCCCCAGAATGAGACTGAAATGAAAGAGAGGAAGCAAACTATGATCCATGTTGTGCTTCCAGATGATGAAACATGGTGTTGGTGTTGGTGTTGGATATTGTGGAGGGCAAAAGGAGGCTTTAGAATTGGTCCCTCAAAAAACGCAAGGGTGGCCACTCCTCCCATGCAAATTGTTATTCCTCCAAGCTTTGCAACTCCCGCTATACTCCTTACATTCAACTTCTCCCCTTTGCCAGAGTAATGCCAAGAGTAACAAAGCATTAGGAAACGAAGTTTTGAGTTCACTGGATAGAAAATGTGAATATTGACTTGGAAAGATTAAGAAAATGCATATCAAATCACTGGGAAGAGGAGAACCTGAGAAGAACAGCGAAGAAGAAGGTCGTAACAGGTATGCAGTTCATAATTGCAGACGCGAGTGAAGCCGAAGTATAGAGGAGCGCGATCCCGTAGAGATTCATAGCTAGCATGAGACTACAATACACATGTATCATTTCATCAGAATTATCAGAACGAGGAATAAGCTTTTAAACGTTAAGTTACATAATCACCAAATTCTCTGATTAGAGTTTAAAATTCAAGATTCCAGGGAAGGTTTTCAACTCACCCTAGGAAAGCCAGCGCAAAGATCTTGAAGAAGACAAGGATTGTGAGTGGAGTTGCGGATCTCCTTTCGAAGATTGTGGTGGATAGAAGCAAGAAAACGGTTCCGATGAGTTGCCGGTAGAAGATGAAGATGAAGCTCTTCATGCCACCATTGAGTGCAGCCTTGGTTAACAAGGTCATGCCCGCATCAAATGTCTGGAACAAGATGGCGAACACATATGGATTCTGTTAGAAATTAAACCAAATTTGTTAGTACTTGTTTCCTTTTTGAGTCTGTTCGTATTTCCATATTTTGATAGATATTGTGAGATATTGTTTCTAGTTATATTTTAGGAAAGTTTCCTAAGTCAAGTAGGTTTCCTAATTAGAATAGGTTTCCTAGAAAGAGGTTTCCTATTTCGAATCAAACTATGGTCTATATATAGTCTATTTCTCTTGTAATTGAGACATGCAATAGAAAGACGCGAATTGCGATTGTTTCACCTTCAAAAATTCCTTTCATCAAATCAATATTGTTGCCGCGCCTCTGACGCTCAACAAATTGGTATCAGAGCTTACGGTTCGTGATCATGGCCTCAACGAACAATCGGCTTCCTCTTCAATACCCTCGTCTTACCAAAGAAAATTATGGTAACTGGGCTGTTAGAATGAAAGCTCTACTCGGCGCTTACGGTGTGTGGGAATTTATTAACACTGGCTATGATGAGCCAGAGGATGAAGCCACATTGAACCAGAATCAGAGGAATGCCTTGGAGACGGCTCGAACGAAAGATCAATATGCCTTGTCGATCATCTATCAAGCGTTAGATGATTCCATGTTCGAAAAAGTTTCAAACGCCACTACCGCTAAAGAGGCATGGGAGATTCTTCAAAACACACATCAAGGAGTTCAGAAAGTTTAGAAGATTCGCCTTCAAACCTTGAGAGGCAAATTCGAGGTAATTCGTATGAAAGAATCTGAATCGATTGCTGATTATTTCACGAGAATTTTGGTAATTGTTAATCAGATGAAAAGAAGCGGAAAAGAATTTTCCGATGTTCGTGTTGTTGAGAAAATACTTCGGTCCTTAGACAAGAAGTATGATTATATTGCGGTTGCAATCGAAGAATCCAAAGACTTGGATGCCATGACGGTCGATGAACTTATGGGTTCATTACAAGCCCATGAAGAAAGGTTTAGAAAGAAAAAGATTGAACCGGTGGAGGAAGTTCTCCAAACGCAGTTGACCATACGAGATGAAAAGGAGCAAAGAAGAGATCCCGTACAAAATCGCGGGACAAATCAAGATCGTGATCGAGGTCGTGGCCGAGGTCACTTTCGAGGAAGAGGTCGCGGACGAAGCAGAGGAGATCCTGCTCGAAGTGATGGAGGATACCAGTACCAAAGAGGTGTTCGTGGAAGAGGAAAGAACTCGACAAGCCAATGGTATGATAAATCTAAAATCCGATGTTATCATTGCAATAAACTTGGCCATTATGCTTCTAACTGCTGGAACAAAGAAAGTAGCAGAGCAGACGAAAAGGCGAACTTGGTGAATGATGCCGATCAAGTTCTCTTATTAGCATTCAAAGAATGTGAAGAAGGTCAAAGCGATACGTGGTATTTGGATACCGGCGTAAGTAATCATATGTGTGGGAGAAAGGAGATGTTTGCCGAGTTAGATAAGACAATTAAATGGAATGTCTCATTCGGTGATAACTCTAAAATTCTTGTTGAAGGGAAAGGTACAATTTTGATTCGCTTAAAGAATGGTGCACGTCAGTTTATTACCAATGTTTATAATGTTCCAAAAATATCAAGCAATATCTTGAGTTTGGGACAACTTCCGGAGAAAGGTTATACTGTTCATATGAGAGATCTTAATCTTATGTTGAGAGATCGAAATAATAAACTGATTGCAAATGTGAAGATGTCGAAGAACATGATGTTTATTCTTAATATAAAGAGTGAGATGTCTCGATGTCTAAAGACGTGCGTAGATGATCCTTCATGGTTGTGGCATTTGAGGTTTGGCCATCTCAATTTTGGCAGACTCAATTTGCTTTCTCGCAAGAAGATGGTTTATGGCTTACCACATATTGATCATCCCGATCAATTATGTGAAGGATGTGTTATCGGCAAGCATTCCAGAACTAGCTTTCCGAAAGAGGCGACTTATCGAGCGAAGAAGCTGCTTGAGTTGATTCATTCTGATTTGTGTGGCCCGATCAATCCTCACTCATATGGTAATCATCGATATTTTGTTACTTTTATTGATGATTTTACTCGGAAAACTTGGGTGTATTTTTTGAAAGAAAAGACAGAAGTGTTTGATACTTTCAAACAATTCAAGAACTTGGCTGAAAAGGAAAGTAGCTATTTTATCAAGGCTTTGAGGACCGATCGTGGTGGAGAATTCACCTCAGCCATATTCAACAAATTCTGTGAAAATCATGGTATTAGGCGTTTCTTGACGGTCCCGTATTCTCCTCAACAAAACGGTGTGGCTGAACGGAAAAATAGAACCATTCTTGATATGGTTCGAAGCATGTTGAAGAGCAAAATTTGTCCAAGGAACTTTGGGCAGAAGCTGTTTCGTGTGCCGTCTATCTTCAAAATAGATGTCCAACATATGAACTTGAAGGCGTAACTCCACAAGAGGCATGGACCGGGAGAACACCAAGTGTTTCGCACTTGAGAATTTTTGGGAGCATTGCATATGCTCATGTCCCGGATAAAAAAAGATCGAAACTTGAAGACAAGAGCAAAAAGCTCATCTTTATCGGGTATGACTCATCATCCAAAGCCTATCGATTATTTGACCCTAACACTTTGAAAGTGTATGTAAGTAGAGATGTCAAGTTCGATGAAAATGGAATGTGTGAAGAAAATCCAAAAGAAGAAGCGAATGTTTGTGGTGATTCCAATCAAACGGAGTTGAAAGATCAACCTTCACCTTCTTCTCCAACATCTTATTCAAGTTCATCAACACCATCCTCTTCAAATAGTGTCGATGAACCGCTAGTGCCAAGATCAAGAAGATTGTCTGAAATTTACGAAGCTACCGAAGAGCTTCATCTTATATATCTTCTTGCAGATTATGAACCACTTGCTTATGATGATGCGGCCAAAGAAGAAAAGTGGAAGAAAGCCATGAACGAAGAAATTGAAGCCATCGAGAAAAATCAAACATGGGAGCTTGCTAATCTTCCGAAGGACAAGAAATCAATTGGCGTTAAATGGGTGTACAAGGCCAAGAAGAATGAGAAAGGTGAAGTGACAAGGTACAAAGCTAGATTAGTCGCGAAGGGGTACAAGCAAAAAGCCGGAATCAACTATGATGAAGTTTTTGCCCCTGTCATCCGCATGGAAACGATTAGATTGATTATTTCCATTGCTGCTCAAAATAATTGGCGGATTTATCAAATGGATGTCAAATCAGCATTCTTGAATGGCATCCTTGAAGAAGAAATTTATGTCGAACAACCCGAGGGGTTTGTTGTGAAAGGTTATGAAGACAAAGTGCTGAGATTGAAGAAAGCTCTATATGGGCTTAAACAAGCACCGAGAGCATGGAATTCCAGAATTGATGCATATTTCAAGGCGAATGGATTTTCTCAATGTCCATACGAGCATGCACTCTATTTGAAGCAAGAAAAAAGTGATATTCTACTCGCCTGTTTATATGTTGATGATCTTGTTTTTACAGGAAATAATTCGGCGATGATTGATGTTTTTAAGGCATCGATGGTAAAAGAATTTGAGATGACCGATAATGGTCTCATGAATTATTTTCTTGGTATCGAAGTGAAGCAAAGTGCCGATGGGATTTTTATTTCTCAAAAAGGACATGCAGAAAATATCCTTGAAAAATTCAACATGAAGAACTGTATGCCGGTCAATACACCAATGGAGTGTGGAACCAAGCTTTCGAAGTTTGATGATGGTGCCGATGTTGATTCGACATATTATAGAAGCTTGATTGGAAGTTTGAGATACTTGACATGCACGAGACCGGATATTATGTATAGTGTTGGAATTGTTAGTCGATACATGGAGAAGCCGAAATCATCTCATCTTAAAGCTGCAAAGAGAATACTTCGGTACATCAAAGGTACTATTTCTCATGGTTTACATTATTATTGCTCTGAATCTTTCAAACTTAGAGCTTATTCGGATAGTGATTATGGTGGAGATATCGACGATCGAAAAAGCACCACGGGATTTGTATTTTTCTTGTGCGACACTGCTTTCACGTGGTCATCAAAGAAGCAATCAAGTGTTACTCTGTCGACATGTGAAGCTGAATATGTAGCTGCATCTTCATGCGTTTGTCATGCAATATGGTTGAGAAGACTACTCAAAGATATTTTTATGGAGCAGAAGAAAGCAACGGAGATTTTTGTTGATAATGTTTCTGCTATTGCTTTGGCGAAAAATCCAGTTTTTCATGAACGAAGTAAACATATCGATGTTCGATATCACTTCATCCGAGAACAGGTTAAAGAGAATGAAGTTGAAGTATTGCATGTGAAGACCGGAGATCAAGTAGCAAATATTTTTACTAAACCTCTCAAGATCGATGCTTTTCGAAAGTTCAAGAGCCTGCTTGGAATGATCGATGGAAGAAAATTTGGTTTAGGGGGGAGTGTTAGAAATTAAACCAAATTTGTTAGTACTTGTTTCCTTTTTAAGTCTGTTCGTATTTCCATATTTTGATAGATATTGTGAGATATTGTTTCTAGTTATATTTTAGGAAAGTTTCCTAAGTCAAGTAGGTTTCCTAATTAGAATAGGTTTCCTAGAAAGAGGTTTCCTATTTCGAATCAAACTATGGTCTATATATAGTCTATTTCTCTTGTAATTGAGACATGCAATAGAAAGACGCGAATTGCGATTGTTTCACCTTCAAAAATTCCTTTCTTCAAATCAATATTGTTGCCGCGCCTTTGACGCTCAACAGATTCTTCAGTCCCATTTTGCTCTCTCCTCTGTATTTTCGCCTAAGATTAGGAATTCAAAGTCGATATCTTTAAGATTCACTTGCTGATCCTTTTTTTTTTTGGTCAGACACTTGCTACCTTTTTTGTATGAGTTAAGGAAATGCAAAGAAAATCAGTGTATAAGTTAGTTTATCTTCTCTTTCGGACGTGCTTTCTGACGT